ATGTTATGTTATGTTATGTTATGTTATGTTATGTTATGTTATGTTATTTTCTTTAACATTAATACATGTGAATGGATTAGCCCTGTGACAGTCTTGCAAAATGCCCCTTGCCTGGGCTGTTTCCAGAGGAAGTTGTAACTAGACACCATTCATAGACTAGAGCAAGGGTAGTTGTCACAGACAGCCAGGATACATTCTGAGCCCGAGGATGTGAGATTTCTAGAGATCTGATGAATGTCTTTGGCCACAGGATGCCAGTATTGAACCACTTTTATGTGATAGCATTTCCAGAACTAGAAGAGAGCACTCTCTTAAGGGGGTAGTCAGATATGCAGAAAGCTTTCTCCTCCATCTGTAATGGGGCAGTTAATTCTTCTCATTTATTTACAATATTTATTGTTTACAGACAGACAAGCTTCTCAGGGGAGGAACAAGGGGCAGCTTCTACCCTGATGTGTTTGGATAAACAGAGGTACTAGACCCAGGAAACCCAGGCCAGGGCTAGCAGCAGCCGTTGGACTTGGTAGCCCCTAGTTATCCACTCAACCCTATCACAGCTGAGAGCCACAGAGGGCTAGCAGTAGGCTCCTCTTGCTCAGGTAGGGAAATGGAGGCAGCTGTGTTTAAACAAAATCTTTGATTGTTAAAGCAAACAAACTAGAAAGAAAAAGAAAATAAAAAGAAAAAAGAATACACTCTGGCCAATGTGAGCAGAGTGCCTATAATCCATCTTTGTGGGCAGCAAGCTTGCCACTCCAGGGCCTAAATGCACATGCTGCTCAAAGCATGGCAAGACACCTTTGTTTGGAACAAGCCACTGAAAGCTGGTTAAAGCATTTGCAGGCTTTTCCTGAAGATTAGAATGTACCATTGTAATTCATTAAGTTTGCCTATGTATTTCTTAGGGGCTCAGAATATGTTCTACTAAGTAAGTATTGTCTTTATGAAAGTATTTATCTCCATTTAAGAGAATATACTAAAATTTTTAATATAATATCGGGGGCAGGTTGGCTTTGTACTGCTTCCCAAGCTCACTTAATCTTAGCTGTTGCTCCCCTGAGGATACCAGATGTGATAGGGTGAGTGAGATTTTGCAAAATCGGTTGTAGTTCCAGTTTACTTCGAGCATAACAAGGGAGCATGGAAAGCAAAACTGAAATCACAGCATTACTGTCAAGTCATATAGGCTGTAATAATGGAAAACTCCAACTGTAGGTCATCGGCTCATCTTTATTTGAAGAGGTGATAACACAGGTTTATTATTGTATGGCCACTAATCTTATTGTGAATGTGAATAGGCTATATAACACTCCAAAGTCACATGTTCTACAGTGTTTCTAGAAGCTTTTTTGACTGCATTGAGCACCTGTGCCATCCCCACAAATGTAGCCTTAGGTCTATAACTGTAGAACAGCTTGGAAGGAAAACTTGGGCAACCAATGAGTACCTTAGGCCAACACCAATCCCTTTGCTAAACATTCCATCATAATAAAAGTTATGCCAGCACTGGGACCACAAAGGAAGAGCTGAGAAAGTCTGGGGGCAGTAACAACAGGGCTGGTTAGGTAGAACCATATACTTTGGGTCTTTGCCTTTCTCTGTGAAATGGTGAATCCAATCGTTCTCAGAAGGGCACATACAAACAGGGCCATCCCGGTTGCTGCCATAATCTGGAATGGATGCAACGTCCCCACACCAGCTAGCAAGAGACCTAAGTAGGCAACTCAATGGAAACCTACATTACAGGAAAACACTAGGAAAGAGCTTTGATATCAGGAGTGGAAGGCCAAGGCTGAGTGTGAAGACAAGGATATGGAAATTAACTTAGGGGCTGCACAGGAAAGCCTTTGAAACATGGGCTTGAGGCCATGTTTCTTTAACCCCACTGTTTTTCTTTACAACTCTTGTTTTTTCTTTTATCTCGTAGTCTACAACGATCAGATGGCTTGGCTCCTTGTCTGCACATAAAAGCTACCTTCCCCATTTGGTTGATAGATAATTTTCCCATAAGCCTATTTTCATAGGATAATTTTGCCAATGTCCCTTTCTGAAAATATGGGGTTTGATTGTTGCTTTCATGGCAGAGTGGACTGTTACAAAATACAATTTATTTAAGAAATGTAAAGTTTATTATTTGTCAGTACTGTACACGAGACCTTTACAATAAACACACCATTAAAAGAACAACAATGTTCCCAGGCAAACTACCTCGGAGATAATGATTGTATTTGTTACTTCTCTTTGTTCTGTGACAACGTGCTGCCTGACAAGCGGCATCTTAAGGGAGGAAGGTTTATTTTGGCTCATAGTTTGAGTGACTGCAGCCTGTCTTTGCATAAAAGGCACAGCTTCAGGAGTTCCATGAGTGGCTGGTCATGCTGTGTTCAGGGAGGGAACAGGAACCAAGCAGAGACGCCTAGGAAGTAAGGCTGGATTATAAGTCCCCAAGCCTACATTCTCCAGTGAGTTTGTACCACTAGACCTTCCACAACCTTCCTAAACAGTGCTAACAGATGGGGATCCAGTGCTCAAATGATGGGCATTTAGCAAAACCACAATGAGAAGAGGGCAAAGGATGAAAACAGCTTTTTAATTGTGGTTAAGCATTGTCTGCAAGGGCCTGTTAGAATAACAAATCAGAGAAGAGAAAGGCTGACTGGACGGGAGATGATTTGGATCTGAAAACTTTAAGAGGATGGAACCTGGGATTCTCTAAGATTAGAGAACTTTAGAAGATGTTCTATGGAGCTTGGTGACAACAAGAAAATGAATGTCCCTGAAACTATCATCACAGAGCTCAGTGCTCTAGGGCTGTGGGTAGAAAGTGTCCTTAGAAGCAATACAACCCAGAGGTTCTGATATTTTGGTATCTGTTGGAGTTACTTCTTGCTGGGTTAGATCTTCAGCTTCTAAATTAAGAGACTAAGAATTGAACTTGAAGCAATATCGGAATTGATGTGATTGGTCTATGGACCAGACCTTAATGACCCGAATTAGTCCAAGTTTCTCATTCTATTTATGAGACAGACAAGGCCTTGATAATTAAGGTAATTGACTCAAAAATACTACAGATTAGACAATGGAAATAATATTCTCCTTCTGACTGTCTTGAGAAATTGGTTGTCATCTCCTATGTGAAAAAAGAACAAACCCATTTTGAGCAGAACATGAAACATATTTGTAAACATTTATTTATATCTTGGTCCCATGGACTCAAACTATTTTCAGCCTCCTGGTTCATAAATAAATGTTCTCATTTGAATGCAAAATATTAATATATTCTTACTGAGAAAGCATCATGGGAAGTTGTAGAAGTGACAAGTAAATTAATTGAGCATGATAGGATTGTAATGAAGTAAATAATTCTTGAAAGTGTACTACAGAGAAGGTAGCTGTACACTCCTAGAATTGTCCCCAAATAATTCACATTTTGCTGTTTTTATGCCATTGTGATTTTCATGCATTGTAATCTCCCCTTATTTCTTTGTAGACAAAATAACCAGAACATTACAGATAATACTAGAAGTTGTACCAGAAGACTCTAAAGAATTATGAACTTAATGCATCAAAATCTTGGCCATCTGCCCAGGACTGAGATACAAAGTGGATCTTTATTTCAAGAAAACACAATGTTGGTGATGGACTAAAGGAATCAGTTATTTCTATTCATATCCTCTAGTGTATTCAAATTAATTTCTGAACAATTTCCTGGTAACTCCGTGTATTTGTAACAAGCTAATATGCAAATCAGACAGTGAGGCAAGCTCACAGTTCTTGAGTCTGGTGCCCACTGTTGATGTAAGGGGAAAAGAGCAACGGCATTGACAACCGTGATGTCATTCTCTACAACATTTCTTATCATGACTGAGAACCTTCAGTAGAAGACCAAAATGTTTTCTGTATATATGGGGTTTGTAAACATAGCTTTATTTACTGGGGACATCTATACTGTGAAAAGTATTTTTTATTTTTCTAAAACAAATATCATTATTTTGGAAAGGGGGGGTGAGAAATAACTTTATTTTCCATTAACCTTAGATTGTTTTCCCTTAGTGACCAACATGGCTGTCACTTATCTTTCAATGGCTTATCCTCAGAGCATCAGAACAAAAAATGGGGGATTACTGTGTGTGTGTGTGTGTGTGTGTGTGTGTGTGTGTGCGTGTGTGTAGCAAGAGATAAAACTCAGGGCTTTGCAAAAGCCAGGCAAGCACTCTACCATTGAGATACATCCACATACCCTAATTTTCTTGAATGCATTAAAGAAGAGTTTCTAGGGAGTATTATTTCTGAGGCAAACCTAGGAACTATGTTTGTATAAAAGTTATGGGGAATTTGCAAGGTTAAATATGTTTCCACTCATTGTCAGGAAGTTTAGTGTTTGGAATGTCACTTTGTTTTCATTGTGGTTTGTTTTTTTATGAAAATGTATACAGTTTGGCATGACATCCACTGATGAACCACCTCTTTGGTAATTCTTGATGAATAAAACTGTTTTAACCATCACAACATCAGCATAGGAGAAATTGTCCATAAAGCTCCAAATATCGGACTTCATCTCTAAAAACCACATTTATATGCAGTGTTAGTACTTCTAATCACTTTTTCTTTTACTTTGTGGTTATTTTTACATGACAATGATTTTTGATAGTGTGTGCATTCCCTTTACAGTTCTCTTAAAATATGTTTCTGGATAAAACTATCTGGATCAGTTAGGAAAAACACAGATTTACCTAAAAACTATGAAAGAAATGTCATTGCTTAGGAGGACTTTCAGATGATCTTTGGAAAAATGTTTACTTCTAAATCTAGGCTGTTGCCATCATTTCTTATTTTTGTTCCAATGCAACTTGCATAAGAGGTAACTGCAAACCAACGTACTGACGGAGAACCTTCAGTACAGTTGTTCAACTACATGCTGTTAAGTCAGATGTAGAAAACACTAGACAGTTGTCCAATGGGATTAATGTAACAGTGAGATTTTTAAAACTCTTATTTTTAATATCCAAAGATTAAATGCTCAGCATAGCCACAGCAAATTTTATATCTTACTTTCTGACTACTTGAAAGTAGGGTGGTTTAAAAACATTATCCCAATTAATAAAATATTTGAGTTCATAAATTATTGCCCAAAGTACAAATGATGATTTTAATTTTGAACAATTTAGCATTTTCTCTTCCTCTTTCTTTTTTGTTTTCTTTCTTTCTTTCTTTCTTTCTTTCTTTCTTTCTTTCTTTCTTT